GCATCCGCCTCCTCGACGTAATCCGTCTGGCCGTAACGGTATTAAGCATCGCTGCGGCGGCGGCGGTGGTCGGATGCGAAGCCCACACGCTGAGCGTGTATAATGCCACCAGGTTGGATGAGGGGTATTTCCTCCCGCCGATCTGGCCCCGGGATTTCGATCTGCGCCCGACGCAGGGACTCGTGGTGGGAGGAGCGGTGGTGGTGTTAACGGGCTTGTTGTATGTACTCGTGGGTGTCGTGCCTGTGGTGAGTTTTTCAAACCTGTCTCAGGAGGTGATATGAGTTATGGCTGGGTGGTCTGGCTAACTCGTGACTTTTCACTGATAGCCCACCCGTCTTCACCTCCTCACAATCCTGCTCTCGGTATCCTTCTCCATTATCGGACTCGCCGGTTCCATCTTCGGCGTCGCGTACTCGTCACACATCACTTCTCGCCAGGGCTATAACCGCGACAACATGCAATCATGGACCTGTCGTTGGTACGATGGTGCAGTGGATGTGAACAAGCTGTTCACGAATGGGTTGGCAGGTCTCTCCGCACCTGCTGGGTTCAAAAGAGTATGCATGGAAAGTCATGTTGGATTTAGTCTTTTGGCTATTTTGATCTGCTTGCAGACGGTGGTGCTGGTTGTGACGGGGTTGTGTGTGTGGTTGGAAGTGAGGATGAGACGGGTAGAGACAGGTGTTGTGGGGAGTGGTGAGTGTGATGAGAAGGCAGGGTCAGGTCGAAGGTTTTACTGACGCAGGGTCGGCGTCTTTGCTTGGTAAGGGGTCTATGGCAGGCATATGGGCCGGTCGCGTACTTGTACTTGATGAGCCGATTGCAGCGAATGCCGTTGCTATTGTGCTAGCTCAGCGGCGAATTCTTGTCTCCGTGAAGAAGGATCAGGATTGGGTTTCAGGCGCAGACCACAGGTCTTTGGTACTATTGTCCTTTGACGGCGGCAGTGTCGTCAATGTTCGATCTTGAGCGAAAAGTCCACGTGGGGAACACCTTGATGTACGGAGCTCGTTGAAATAACATCGATATCTGTACCCCGTGTTAGTCCTGACAGACCCTGGACATGATGATATCTGCATACCATTATTGACATATTCTCGAACATTGGCCTCTGTCAAGCCTCCGCTGCATTCCAGCAACACCTCTCGCCTACCCTTCCATCGTTCCCTGATACTCTTCGCTGCAATTTGCAAGCCGGGACCATCGAAGTTATCCAACATGACGATATCAGCTCCCGCCTCGATCGCCTCATCCGCCTCCGCCTCAGATTGGCATTCAACCTCGATCTTGAGAGCAAACCCCCCGACAGCGCGAGCAGCTTGGACAGCTTTCGTGATGGACCCTTCTGTAGATCAGCCGAAATCCTCTCTCACTTCTCCAAGAAGCGTACCTTTCGCCCAAACATGATTATCCTTCAACATCACCATCGAACTCAGATCATGCCTATGCCCATCGATGCCTCCAATCAGCATCCCATACTTTTCCACCAACCGGAATCCAGGCGTCGTCTTCCTCGTCCCGGCAATGATCCCTGTATACCCTGCCCCTCTCACCAAATCCAGCATCTTCCTCGACTGACTTGCCACCCCGCTGCACCGAGCCAGCATATTCAACGCCACCCTCTCCCCCAGCAACAGCTTTCGTGTTGGTCCAGTCACCGTAGCCACTTTGATCCTGTCGCCTCCTTCTCCTTCCCGCTGCGAGGGGTCCAGGTAGGTCCCCTCGGCATAGTGCCAGGTGACAGTCGAGTCGCATTGGCGGAAGACCTCGTCGAAGAAGGGCACACCCGCAAGGATACCGGGGGATTTGCAGAGCAGGAAGGCGTTGCGGATCGAAGAGCCGACGACGAAGCCGCCGTAGTCGAAGGAGGGGGTGTCTTCGGCCAGCCAGCGGGTTATATCGGTTGTGAAATGGGTGGGGAGGAGGTCAGAGGGGTTGCCATGGGTGGTGGGAGACGTCATTTCGGGCAAGAGGCTTCGGGTCGGATATACGTGAATTAAAGCTAGGGTATAGCTTGGGAAGAGGTGTTGGGTTCAGGTTGGTCTAGAGATCGGATTGGTGTGAAACCTGTTGTGGGTTCATGGTCTCCTTGCTGCTGTAGGCCACACGGTAAGAAGCTGAGGGAGATCCCCACTGGGCTGCTCAGTGTTGGCTATCGCAATCTAAATGTAGAGCATTCTCAGTATGATCCATGCCATGCTCCCTAGACTGGCCAAGTATAATACGGTGGGTGATCAGGGCACGGGAATCCACACTTCCATGGAGTGAGTGATGGCCTCAGTCACTTAGACTAATAAGCCAAAGCTGCCCGCGGAGTCTGAAGAGAAGAACGCAGATTTAATATTTAATTTAAAGTTAACTGTTGAGATCAATAGATTGATATTATTTATAAACACTTACTTAATGTATATTTATTTTTATTGTATTTCATATCACACGTCTAAGGGACTAAGACAACCTTTTCGACTTGCCGACCTAACAGCTCCCCTTGTGGCCAGGTACTTCGTGGTCCAGACAGCGCGTTAAGAAGGACATGATCCGGACTGTTAAATTTGCACTCGGGTCACATTATGGTTCAGATGTTTGGGTATAAAAGTTGTATCTGATGCAGTAAGTTCATATCATTATCCAAGTCACCTGCAGCCAGTTTGCTCTATCGTTGTGTACCATCTTCACCAGGGCTGAGATTCTCTGCCCGCTTGTTCAGGCAGTCGGGTCGAAGCCTCTGAGATAATTCCCAAAATCTTGCGGGATGGTTGCTTGACACTCCACCGCATCTTCCTGTACCAGCCTCTTGATATTGACCCCTAGCTCCCACTTGAGAAGCGGGTCATCCAAGTGTGCTTTCTCCATCCTGGGCTCTCGAGCTGCCTTGGGATCTTTGCCCTTCCACAACATGTCCATCAGATGGAATTCGCCTACTCCATCGGGTAATGCGGCACGGCTCATGAAAGATCGCAACTCTCCTATGTTATGCGACAGGCTAGTCAGGTTATCTGGAGATCCGTACTGTATGGCGGCTAAGATAAACGTGATTGTAAACTGAGCCCATCTGAAAGTCGAGGCGGGCAATGAAGGCCCCGCGGGAGGTTTGCGGAAATTTATCATTCGACCGTGTTGGTGAAAGTCATTTCCCTGGAGGCCGCTGAAATTCCAACAAAACCAACAAGCATGGCCATGCGATATGTCCTGCACTTTGTCCACCAGATTCCTTTTGTTTCCTGCTTCTTGAATATCTAACAGAAAATCATGTCGACTCATCGCATCCGGCGCCGTCAACTCGTGATAAAGCCAATTGCTTTTGGCACACCAAGCATCAAGGCGGTTTTCAGGCAGCAATGCCTCAATGGCTGGCTCAAAGTGAAAGACACTAGATATTAGCCGCTTCAGCTCTGGTAGATTACATTCAGGATGAAGCGAAACGTAGATACCAGTACGACAATCCTTAGCATATTTGATCTGGTAGTGTTTGGTAAGATAGTTCCAAAGCGCTTGCACATGCTGTTGCCAGTCTGAGCCGGGGACAATATCAAATACCGGTGACAACATCTTCAATTGCCCTGAAACAATACTTTGTTAGTTAGAAGCTTCCAAGAGATTTGGAATTGGGTAGAGTGATAATGACCCACAAAATTTGCCCGTCCGGAAATAGAAGCCCTCCTCATGAACAAAAGTCCATTCTCTGCCGTAACGATCTCTCCCATTATAGCCTTGGCTGAAAGACTCTGTCAGCATATGACGCTGCATTGAACGATGTCGACCAGCAATTTCTCGATTGTAGTTATCTGCAAGGGTTCTGATAAACGCTCTTCGGTCGTCGGAATCATGCTTTTCGCAACGAGCAGCAATATAAAACTCAAGCTCGAGACCAAGTCGGATCTTGCGTTTTGGATATCTAGAGACGACTCTTGAAGATTGGGCGGCCGTTTTTGGAATGTGAGTCACACTGGCTGGTGGGCTATTCCGCGGTCGCTCCTGTGAAGGTGGTCTACCTAAAGGCCTCTGCGAAGAATCTGCCAAACTTCCAGCAGCTGATTGTTGGCCAGCTAGCGCATTTGGCAAAGTCCCGGCATGTGGCTGTGTCTCAGTATTTGTAATTGGAGGTCTAGTGGTTGCACCTGGGGCAGGAAGAAAGGGACCTGTTGGGGGTCTGGTTTGTACATGTTGCCCCACAGATGGTCTTGTTAGAACTCCTACCGAAGATCCACTAGCTGGAGCTGAGGAAGAAGAGCAGGGACCGGGTGGAAGACTTGATGACACAGTCTGTGCACCGTCCGCTCCTGTTGGCCACTCCCGCCTTCGTTTCCTCGATGCTGAGTCGGTGGAAGGCTCTACGGCTATATGTGAGTTGACAGTCTAGCCGAGCGAATCAGTAAAAGTCCCTGCTGGTGGTTATTTATGCTCACAGCTGCTGGACGGGTGCTTGGCACCGCGTTGGTGCTTCTGTCAGGTTGCTGGCAAGTTTCTTGAGGAGGTGGCTGGAAGGCTCGTTGAGGCGTCTGGTCGGAAGTCCGTGAGGAACCCCCTTGCATACAAAGCTGCTGAAAAGTCTGAGGAAGAGGCTGCTGAGAGGCGTGTGAAGATGGTGATGGACTCTGCCGTGTCTGAGGGCGCTCTTGTCCTAAAGATGCCAAACCAGAGCCAGAAGACTCCCCTGCACCACCACCACCACCTACCGTGTCATACTTGGATCCGGAGCTGTCCATAGACCAGGCAAGAAGAATTTTCTAGTGACACTAGAATTAAGAGGATATGCGGAAGATAGAGAGGGTAGTTTAGCGAAAGACATAACTTATGTATCGTCGTACTTTAACGCTCGTTTAACCACAGGTCCGAGAGAACTGATACACTTGGAGTAGGAAGTGTATACGAGCCATTGTGGGCATGAAACTGGTACACTTGACTCTTGACTTGGTCAAATCGCTATAAGAAAACTTAAACTCAGAACAGTAGTAATACAGTATTAACTGCAAGGAAAAAATTGCCGAGAATGTGCCTGTGTCAATGCAGATGTGGGACTTTTCACCATTCACCACGCAGTTCGAAGCAGATGCACGAAAGCTCTTCTTCCGATATCTCTTCGTCTCCAGGAGACTTAAGGTCCGATTCCAAGAAGTGGAGTTTGCCGTTGCGGAACCTGACACTGCGGGTGACTCATGTGCTCGGAAGATTCGTCGTGGTCATGGGGCGGCAAGATCAGACCTCCCAATGGCCCGGAAGTCAAAGACTTGCATGACATTACATGTGTCATGGCTCCGAGGTGTAAGTCGCTTCGTGGCCAATGACCAGGACTCTGTGCTGATTAAGAAGACCCCAAGAACATACGTGGTTTGACGCCTAGATGCGTTGACGCTTTGACGCATTAACGCTCAACTTTGTGTCACACTTTGCGTCACACTTTGCCTACGGAGTTGCTATTCCCCGGTGGGGAAGGGGGAAAAGCTTAAATGCTGTTAGACTGGCGCTAGTAAGCTTGTAGCTAAACGGATTCTTCACACATCATGTAAAATTCCCCTACAACGGTATGCAACTCGGAATCAAGCCAGAACTTATCAGTGAGCATGAACTAAAACCCCTTAGAGATTGCTTTACTTAATCTGATGGGTTTGTAAAGCAAGTTCTACGTGATAGATATCTTCTTCGGTCGAAATTGCTGTCAAAAATGCTCTACGACAATTGGAATGGCAAGGCTGAACTTCAACAGCCAGCTCAGTTCATTTCTAACCTAGTTGATTGGAGTGATATTCGGGTCCGGCACCTAGATTCTCATTCTGGTGCCGGGACTGGTCCGACCAGTGCTGAACTAGTCGACAGAGATCATCGCATTGCATTAGAAATGTGGCAGGCTCTCCCGCTCTCAGTGGATTTCATGGCTGGTTGGCGGATCGGTGTATGAGAAGCTCTTTCTACCTTGCATCGTGTACTGACGGCATCAATATGGATTGGGAACTGGCTTCGTATTGCGCGCCGCTGTCTTAGGGCAATAAAACAGTCCTTGAACACGCTCAGCAAAGCTTGGGTTCTCAACAGCCGTTGGTGTCATTATATTGATCTTCGGAAGGGCGGGACTGAGAGCGGAGCCCGCTCAGGAGGAGCGGAATCATGACAAAAGTTCGATCGAAGACGTCAAAGACCTTCTTCAACAATGCCTGAGACTCTTCAGGCATGCCTGCAACGGTAAACATCATGCTTGCTACGGCTTGGAATTTGGAGTGGGAAGATTTAGGGCCCATCGGGCCTGGTGCAAGGATTTCTTTTAAGCTCCCAGTAGCCTCCAACTTACCTAAAGAGCTCGAGCAGTCTTGGACATTGCTTCCTGAGAGCGCAACGACACCCAAAAGTTCGACTATCACCAAGTTCAATCTCGGATCTTCGACTCCACAGATAGGACCACTACAGCCCTCATCAGTAACGACAGGTCCCAGCTCTATGCCTACAACGACACCAGGCTCGCGTTTCCAAATACAAAATACATGGCCAACCCAGGAATCGGGTTGGATGTCTTCAAGCCAACCAGCGGATGAGCGACCTGGCACTGGTCATTCAAGCAGCAGTTCCCCGGTGCGCCTTCCTCAAGCGCGTTGACGAAAGCGCTGATTTTCACACATCTACCTTCAAGCTCTGCAAACCACTCTCCAATTCGGCGGCACAGCTCTGCAGCTTCTTCTACCTTGACCTATCGGCGAGAGGGGCCAGAATTCAGATGAACTCGTCAAACCACGCGTTGGAAAAGCTTGGAGCTGTTTTCGGCCTTGCAATAAATCCATAACTAGTGATCTCTGGTGTAGTAAGTGTACTGGTGACCTTTCCTCAAGACCTTTCACTCCCTCTGCAACAAGGACTATTTATTTGAAATGGCAACTGGAAGCCTCGATGCCAACCCGTGGCACTAGTTCGGCCTCGTCCTTAGAACTAGCAGTCCTATCGTGGACATTTCCTGACATTTTTCTTTTCCAAGTCAGGCAATCTTGGCTCCTAGTTCTGTCTTTGCGCTACCGCGGCATCAACAATGCTATGGTATGTCATCATTATAATCAAAGAGAGCACGATTCGCTCAATATACCATACAGCACGTAATAACAGCTTTCATTTTTTGTGAACGTTGCCCTCTTGCAGCACTGTGGATGCTGAGTATCATGCGTAGCAGCTATGCCAAAGCCCCGAACGTTGAGCACTGTAGAAGAGGTGCCATACTACAGTTTCCATATAATATTCAGCTCCGGCCACCTGGATCGGGCTGGTCGTGTTGTGCTCTACGATTTAGATATCCTAACGGCGAGTAACCTTTATTGGCCTTGATCTTCTCAACGGTCCATGAGGTACCTCAACCGCTATTCCATTGTAATCACGCCTCTGAACCTTACAGTTCCCTTCATCATCGCATCTATGGTCGTGGGTCAGCTTGGGAAGGCTTTCATTATGGAAAAGGAACTTACCCATTGCATCGTTGCATTTCTCCAGTTGGAACTTCTCCACCATGCATTTAATGTTCTCAAGCTCAGTAAAAGCGATTGCCTCCTCTGAGTCGAGAGAATGTCCACTGGGCCAGGAATGCACAGAGAGTCCATAATGGATCTGATGAAGCATTAGCCGCACCTCCTATGATCCATGCATGGCTACGGATTTCTCCCTACCATCGCACCAGTATCAACAGGGACTTCACCAGCAGCTATATCACGTTATCAGTAGGGGTTCATCAAGCACCTAGATCGCTGAGACATAACTTACCTGCTAGTATCAACAACTTCCCCATAATACCAAGACCCTTCATCAGGGGGGAGATGACCTTTGCATCCGGCGCCGTGACAACGATTAGCGACGCTCCGCCTAGCTTCTGCAATGCCTCTCCCTGGTCGCCCTTGCTACCGTCAATGTACTCATGTGCACCTAGATCCCTTGCGAACTTCTCTTTGTCCGCGTTACGAGACAGAGCAGCCACTCGGAACCCAAATTTGTTTGCAAACTGAAGAGCAAGGTGACCAAGACCGCCGAGCCCTTGGACTGCGACGAGGGAGCCGGGTGAGATCTGCATTCGCCGCATGGAGTTGAAAACCGTCACGCCAGCGCAGAGGATAGGGGCGTATTCGGCGGCATCGAGATGTGAGGGGATTGATACGCCGGCTTCCGAGCGGAGGGTGCAGTATTGGGCGTCTAAGAGGAGATCAATCTCTTCTTCGGGACCAATTGAGGAGGCTGCTATTTAGCGCAAGCTGATCAGAACTTACAGCCTCCGTTCCTCGTAATGCCGTTGATTTTTTCATTGTCGCACATCTGGAAGAAACCTGTCTTGCATGCCTTGCAGGTACCTGAAGCGATCCGTTAACGAGGTTTCCTCTTGCAGAAAATGACCACATCAAGTAGTAACCAACCATCATGTCCACCATGCCAAGGGCCTCCTATTCTATCACCCACCTTCCACGCCGTCTCACCATCAGCCACAGCTGCTACATGTCCAATAATTTCATGACCAGGAACCAATGGACTGCATTCAATGACCCTCAATCAGCCTACATCCCATAGCTTCTGAGGTACATTTCGCTTCACTGCAATGAATCCTTGTATCCATTTCACAGCTATATCTTAAAGGTTGAAAAGCAAAACAGAAAATTCAAGGAGAAAGGGACTCAGCCTACAACCCGCCCCCAAAAATATTCATTTGCGCCATGCTGTCCGAGTGACAGACGCCGCATGCCTCGACCTTGACCAATACTTCGCCTCTCTCGGGCATGCGCAGCTCCACCTCTTCAATGGTTAGTGGAGCACCTTGCTCCTTGAAAACTGCTCGCTTGAATGTCTTAGGAAGTTCGGGTGCCATGTTGAGCGTGGTGTTCTGGATTGTGCTGCTTAGGTCTCTGAAATTTATCTGGGAATCGTTCGTGTGGTGAAGCAAGGGGATGCTTAAATCATGTCTGAGAATAGATATGAGGGGGGAAGTTAGGATTCAAGTGGACCTTTCATCGAGCTATATCTGATATGTAAGCCACTTTGCCAACCCACCCGCCTAATCTAGAAAATCAGAATACCTTAGTTCGTATTTTCGGAAAGCCCGGGCTTGAGATAGCTGGAGCATTGACTCCTACACACTTACATGAGCTTAGGTGAACTTTGATTCGACCAAGCTCCCGCGATAATGGAATCTGGGGCCCGGAAGGTTAATATCCCAACCCTCTCTTAGCCGAGAACCTATCATTGTGCCGAAGTTCTCATCAGCCTCGCGAATTCATGCCATCCAGACCTGTCGTAAGGCAACAGGGAAAAACACATGTAATACGCGCCTCGTACTAGACTTTCTTAGTTACGGAGGTGTACGGAGTCGTGCATCGAAAGTCACCAATATACGCAAGATTAAAGCGCCACTAGTACACTCATTCTAGAGACCTCTAGGACCCCCTTTAGGCCATTTGATGTGGCTCACAGGCCTGAGGTCCTGTGTCAGTTAAGCTCTAGCCATCCGCCCTTCGGCCCCTTGGTCATCCTTACGCCCCCACCTCCTAGTAGTAGTACGCTAAGATACGAGGGCTAGCTTCTAGTTTCCCTAGTTAGCGAATACTGATAACGTTTGATGCACGACTTCGTATGCTAACCTGCATCGATGGCTACTAAGAAAGGGTCCAGACACTGTGCCGCCCTTGAACACTGTCAGCCACACAAAAAATGGTTTTTCGAGAAGTCCAAGAAATGAGGAGACTGGGGTGAACCGAAGCTTGCAAGGGCCCAGTTCCAGTGACAGTGGTGATGGGGCTCCATGCCGCTTCTGCATTCATCCTGATTCTAAGTCTCCCCAGCACCTGCTAACAAGAAATCCGTGTTTGGCAGGTACCATAGGAGCCAAAACAATTAGCCAAAACGATGCACTCTCACTATCAAGATGGTAGATGATACTATTCAGGAGTGGACTGTGAAGGAATAAGTGGCCGGCATCGAACAGGTCCAGACTGTGTATAGTCATGCTGCGGAGCTTTCTATGCAAAGAGACTGATGACGAAGCAAGACGGCATGTGCTTAGGTATACCAATATCCTTTGCATGCGCGAGATTTTCAGGAAGCCGGCCTCCGCGCCATCACAGAAGAGAATGATCTCGTCATCAGCCTTATCAAGGACTTTGGGAGACGACATGGAAGATACAAGGGTTGAATTGAGAAATTTGCAGCTTGGCCTTCGGCTTGGAAGGCGTCGTTGTTCTTCTCCAGCGACGGACACGAAACCATGAGTATCACCTCGATTTCCAAAGCTTTGTCTCCAAGGGGTCGACACTGAGGGGTTAGATGAGTTGATCCGTTTCGTCAGCGAGGGTTCCCGAGGCATCAGAAGTGTCTGTGTTCTAGACGCCTTTTCCTTAAAGCCACTCGAATGTCACGGTTTGATCGCAGAAAGAATAAAATTCAGGAAGCCAAGTGTGGTCATAGGATGTTGCAGAGGGATCCACCAAGACCATATGCCGCATCATTTGGTGGCTGACCCTATCGGCGGTCCGCGTGTAGCTCTATCCGTCAATTCTGGAGGCCACTCGACCACTGTGGTTCGATCTTCCATCCAACTTACTGTCTCAATAAATATCCGACGGTGTGCCAACCTTCGTATTATGTTTATATCCCATTTCATTATGGCGTTCTCGAGTATTGATAGGGCATTTAGCCAACCGAATGGACATCGTCAATTGCGTCGTTCTCGTCCAAGCGTGGGCATCGCCACCTCCAACTATGCAGGAGATTATTCAAGCTAACGAATGGAAAGACTACGCGATGAACCAGGCTTGACAAACAAGAAGAAGATGCTCCTGTCGCTTCGCAAAATGCACGGTATTGAAAATCGCCGGACCACATTTTGGAATACCAACAGATGGAAGACGAGATCCAGGACCTCTTGTAAACAGTTGGTGCAAACAGCATACTCCAGTCCGCCTCTCTTGGTGAAGTTGCGCTTTTGTGGCAGGAATATCCACAGAGTCAAGCCTCCTTCACAAATGGGATATTTAAACTGAGAAGCTCCAGGTGCACTTCTCCGAGACCGAACCGGAAATAGCGCTAGAGTGAGAGAACGTTCACATTGCTCCTGGAGTACGCCCCAAACGTGGAATCTCGCCCCATCACGGCAATACAAAAACTCGGCAGGTACCAATATCAAGGAGAATTTGGAAATTACTCAGGCGAATTCTCCAAAGCAGACCGAGGAAGCCACTAAGATCATTTCACGCCTTCCGCTGGAGTCTGCTGTGGCAGCTGGAACCGATCGAAATATGGTACCATCAGGTGACCTCGTTGGCAAACTGAGAGGCGTCTTAACAAATCATTACCAGCAACTTGAACAATTGATCTCATTACTTGGTGTAGCTACAATAATTCTATCTAGCGAATTCGGCATCTCTAACGAAGACGAGCAGCCACCGAAAAAAACTCATTTTATCTAGAGACAAGAAGTGAGTGTTTCAAACCGCCAGCGAGCGCGTTCTAACGACGTTAAAGTCCGGAAATGACTGTGAAACCGCGAGACAAAAAATGATTCAGAAGACAGAGTGCTTGCTCCTGAATCTGGAACACGCACATGGTAACACTAGCTTAACCGCCGAGGAGGTGAAGGACATATTATCGCATGCGTCCGAGAACTTGCCTGGCTGGAACAGGAATTCGAGGTTGCTATGGAGATCTTGCTCGCCATCAGGCTTGAATTGGCCGGTATGAAGGGCTTGCTAGAAGGGGGAGTGATGTCACTGAAGCAACGAAAGGAGGATGGAGGAACGCGAGCAATATCACAGCCTGTTTTGGCGGATCGAAGAGAGGCTGAGCAGTCCCGACGCAACTCTTGACGGGTATAGGTTGACCATCCGGCCTGAAGGCAAGAGGGCTGACACTCGAAGACACGGATCCCTGACCAAGTATAGGCTGACACTGTCTCTGGGTATGAAAACCAACGTCGATCTGTAGGTGTGTGTGGTGAAATGGTCAGACTGTATAGAAACAAGGCATATCGTAGCCTACAAGGCACTGATCTGTTGGCGATCAACATAAAAGATAGTGATATAGAATTATGCCTTCAGGTCAAATCACCAATTTCATACAACAACGAAAAAAGTATCTTCTTTGAACTCTAGATAGGATTACAAACTACAAAGATAATCTAGGTCCGAGACAATCATTTAAAACGTCATCTTGAAGCGACCCTCAACTTGGATGATCTTCTCTGTGGCCCTCTTATACGCCTCCCGCTGATACAGCCTCTCCACATACGCAAAGACCTTGGGAAACTGTTCCTGCTTGATGTCGCTCCGGTGGTTTCCCATCTCGACGGGAAAGCTCGTCAAGATATCTGCACCGGTGATCTCGTTACCGCAGAGATATTCACCTCCGTCTGGCGAATTTGCTAACTGGTCTTCCAGGAACTGATAGTGAAGCTCGAACTCTTTCTCGAGGAAGGCTGTTTCGATTCTGTTGGCGATGCTGTTCGTTATGGGACGGATGAAGAAGGGGACAGGAGCGTTCTTGATGTCTGGGTTGAGGTCAGCACTGATTCACGAACAAAAAGAAGGATGTTGGAGGTATTTGCTCACTTCGCAACACGAGTTCAATGACATTCAACGGCATCAAGCTGCCCTCCGCATAATGCATATAAAACCTATGCCGCAACCAACTCTCGGTCTCACCCCCAACCTGGTCCTCCTTTCCCTCTTGATACCGCTTCGGGATCAGCCACTTTCCCCAGTGATCTGTGAGGTATTCCACGATTGCACCCGACTCGGCAAGGACAAGCCGTTTCGAGGTGGCCGGGGACTCGATCTCCATGATAGGCGACTTTCCCAAGGGGTGCACCTCTTTCAGTTTGGGGTCGGCCAGCATGCTCTTCTGCCGTCTGTAGGTCTTGAGCTCGTAGGGGACCTGTAGTTCTTCGAGTAGCCATAGAATGCGGTGCGCGCGGGACGATTCGAGCCTATGCAAACATCAGCACCGTCTCGGTCCTTGATTCGGTAGGGGAAACCGCTATACCAATGCAGTGTGATCTTTGCTGTGGGAGCTGAGGATGCCGCAGGTTCGGCCATGACGGTGCTGCTTTGGTCTATGGGGTGCTGGGAGATGACCTTCCCGTATGTGCTTGAAAGGTTTGCAGCTTCTATGGGATCTCTGATGTAGGAAACAAAAGAGAAGTTCGGAGGAAGTTGTCAAGACTCTGGGATCCCGTCCCAGAGTCCTGAGAAGCGACTCTCTCGTACCACCACGACGAAATCCTTCCTCAACATTTGAATCTGCGTCATCCCGCTTGGGCCGCGGGTAATATGAGCCTCCATGCTCGCTGACTAACTCTAGTTAAGCCAGAGCCACAATAGCCCAATCATCATCTCATCTCCAAGTCCACAATTGAGTGAACAAGATCCTCCCAAAAAGCACAACCAAGCACCCATGGCGGGTCCATCATGTACCATACCCCCACCCTCTCCCCTCCGACATACATTATCTATTTCTTGAATCCGTGCTAACCAACCCATCTCCAGCGCTGCGTCTCGATCCCGCCCTCCAAAAATACTACGGTACCTAACCCTCCCCCCCTTCAATCCTCCACCCCAAAGCCGCGCCCGCGCAAACCCCCGCTGCTCCCGTCCCACCTCTCCACTCCACGCCCTACCCACCATCCCTCC